TGTAATAAGCTCTAATGCCCTCTTCTGGTGTGTCTGAAGACTGCTACAGTGTACAGTGTACTCATATATATAACATAATTCTAAAAAAAAAAAAACCAAAAAACCCAAAGATGCTAAAACAGCTTGATGACTCATTGGATGAAGGTGCATGCTACCAAGCTAGACAACTGGAGTTCAATCCCTGCATCCCTGATGGTGGAAGTTGAAAACTGACTCCTAACATCTGACCTCCACATGATCACAGAAGTATGCACATGGTAAAGCAATATAATTTTTTGTTGTTTTGGAGTAAAAGAATATGGAACCATGCTCAGCCAAATAAAAGCAATTTTAAAGAAAGATATTTAGGATGGGAGTGTAATGTAGTGGTAGAGTACATGCTACAAAGCACGAGTCCCTAGATTCAATCCCCAACGATGCCAAAAAATGAAGCTCTAAATACATTCATGTGTGTATTCCCATATGTGATGATTAGCCTTAATTGTCAACTTGACAGTAACTTAGTAACTTAAAACTGTCCATCCTAGGCAGTGAAAATCCTTAACTGTATAACAGTACAGAAACCAAGGCACTGCGCACAAGGTAGCAAGTATAAATTCCTTCTCTTTGCCCTTGACCAGCTGTCTCAAGCTCCTAGTACTGTGGTTTCCTTTAACAACAGACACTAACCAGGAATTGTTAGCTAAAATAACACTTTTCTCCTCTAAATTGCTCTGTGTGTGTGTGTGTGTGTGTGTGTGTGTGTGTGTGTATCTATTTTATCACAGCAACATAAATGAAACTAAGTGTATATGTGTTTTTTAGAATTTAGCTACAGCTATAGGCATACAACTGTAATCATGTAATCTCAGAAAGATTGTGAATCCAGCCTGTGCCTCATAATGAGATAAAAAAAGAAGTAAAAAATGTAATACTATGTAAGGCTACCAGTGAGACAACTGGTAAGGTTGCTGATGACCTGGATTCCATTTCTAGAATCCATGTAGATGTAGAAGAGGACTGAGTCTTGGAGTTTTCTCAGATCCCCACATGTGTGCCATATCATGAAAGGTGCATGTCTACATAGTTACACGCTCAAAAAGAAAACAAAATAAAAAAGGCTGACAGCTGTTAAAAAGAATCTGCTCCCCCACATACATATCACACACACACACAATTGAAAACTGAAATTATTAAGAATGACCTTTGAGGAATTGTTACTTCCAAAAAAGAAAGGAGGATGGGGCTGGAAAGATGGCTCAGGGGTTAAGAGCACTGGTAATTCTTCCCAAGTTCCTGAGTTCAATTCCCAGCAAACACATGGTGGCTCACAACAATCTGTAATGGGATATGATGCCTTCTTCTGGTTTGTCTGAGGATGGCAATAGTGTACTCACATGCATAAAATAAACTATGAAAGGAAGGAAGGAAGGAAGGAAGGAAGGAAGGAAGGAAGGAAGGAAGGAAGGAAGACTGCTCAAGGTTGGAGAGATAGATCAGTGGTTAAGAGCAACTGCTGCTCTTTCAGGGAACCAGAGTTTGGTGGCTAGCACTGAATATTGGGTGGTGGCTTACAACTGTGTTTAACTCTAGTCCAAAGGATCCAATGCTCTTTTCTGGACTTTACATACACCTATATGCCTAAGGTACACATACATTCACTAGAGTATACAAATATATAAAATTATAAAATTTAGAAATAATAAATTACTAAAAATCTTATTAAGGAAAAGAAGCAGAATCAGCCAAGTGCCTTTTCACAGTGATCCCGGTGTTTGGTGGGTAGAGGCAGGCAGATCTTTGTGAGATCAAGACCATCCTGGTTTATAGACCAAGTTCCAGGACAGCCAGGGAGTCACAGGAATACAATAACGACCACTGCTTTCCTCCAGCAGTTAGTAGAACTACATTTCCCATTCACAAATAGAAAAAGTATTCATTGCCCTTCTAGCTTTTGACTGAAATTAAGTACATAACCAAATATGTTCTTATTTATTTGTTTGTTTATTTATTATGAGTATATTGCAGCTGTCTTCAGACACACCAGAAGAGGGCATCAGAGCCCATTACAGATGATTGTGAGCCACAATACGATTGCTGGGAATTGAACTCAGGTTCTCTGGAAGAGTAGTCAGTACTCTTAACTGTTGAGCCATCTCTCCAGCCCCCAAATATATTTTTGACAGGCTGGGCACTACGTACCCTAAATGAATAGCATAAGCATTAAAATTTAAACCTTTTTGTTTAGGATAAGCCTTTTTTTTTTTTTTTAATGTCAAGAAGTCAGGATTTCCCTGTGTAGTACTGACTGTCCTGAAACTTGCTCTTTAGACTAGGCTAGCCCCTCAAACTCAGAGATCCTCCTGCTGCCTCTGCCACCCAAATGCTAGGATTAAAGGCATATGCCACCCCAGATATTATTTTTCTTAAGACAAGTATCATTTTGTTACCAAGTCTGGCTTAAATTCCTGGCTTGAGTGTCCTCTCAACTTGGCCTTTGAAATAAGTGCTACTACTATAGGCAAATTACTACTGTTTCTTGCTCATAAATACCTGGGTTTCGTTTGTTTGTTTGTTTGTTTGTTGGCTGGTTGCTTGCTTGGTTAGTTTGTGTGTGCGTGTATGTATGTGTGTGTGTTGGCATGAACGCACATGGCACACATGTGCAAGACAACTTTGTGAAGTTAGCTTTCCCCTTTAACTTTCACATAGGATCCAAGGATTTAATTCAGGCCACTGGGATGGTTCTGAAAGTATCTGTACCCTAAGCCATCTCGCTGGCCCATGCATACGTTTCGATACATTTATGTCTTCTTGCACAAGTTAACATTTTTATCATGTTTTTCACTTCCTCCTTTTGTCTCCTTTACTATATTCTATTCAAATTTATGTCTTTTTTTTCATTTAGAAGTCTTACTATAGTGTGTGTACATGATGTGTGGGCAGGCCATGGTATCCACATAAGAGGACAACTTTGTAGAGCTGGTTCTCTCCTTCCTCCTTTACACGTATCCCTGGGACAACTCAGGTCACCAGAATTGCACAGCCAGAACAATGACCCACTGAGCTGTGAGTCTGAGGATGGTGTGGTTTACACTGTGAGTTCTAGGCCAGACAGGTCTACCCAGTGAGATATTACATGAAAAGAAAAAAAAAAGTGATACCAAGTAGGCAGAGTTAGAAATAATCCTTTGTGGTTAAACATCCTTGCAGTTGAGCTCAGGTTGTTCTCACCATATAAGAAACTTAAGGCACCAGGACATTTTCCCATATGTGAACTGATGAAGAATCTGAGTCAACAGACCTGACCTCATTATATTATGTACAGTATGGGCTTCGAAGTCCTTTTCTCCTTTGTGGGCTTTTATGGAGTATCACTGGAAGAAATACCTTGAAAGAGAGAACTGACCACCACAATTTGGGAGGGGAAAGGGGTCATCTTACTCCTATGAGCATGGCACCTACCTCACATTTATGACCTCACATGGACATTATGGTGCACATTTTACCAGAATACAAGATTTGGGGATGGTTCTCTCCGTACTCTGTAAGTTCTGGGGACAAAAACCTAGGTTGTCAAGCTTGGCAACTTGCTCAGCTCTTTCTTTATTTTATTTTTTCCCCTTCCCTTCTCCCTCTTGCTCTGGCCCTGCTTGCTCCTGCCATTTATTTATTTATTTATTTATTTATTTATTTATTTATTTATTTATTTATTATATGTAAGTACACTCTAGCTATCTTCAGACACCCCATAAGAGGGCATCAGATCTCATTATGGTTGTGAGCCACCATGTGGTTGCTGGGATTTGAACTCATGACCTCCAGAAGAGCAGTCAGTGTTCTTATCTGCTGAGCTATCTCACCAGCCCCTTTCTTCTTTTTTAGAACCCACACGCTGTTGCATCTTGAGGCAGCTTACTCTCTTGGGAGTATTGTTTTTCCTTAGCTTTGCTAACTGAATTTCTGCTTAAACTGTGACTCAACTCTATTATGGTTATTTTGACAAGGTCTCTTCACTTAGTCCTAGAGTCCATGAACTCACAGAGCTCCACCTGCCACCTGAGTCCTGGATCCAGAGGTCTGGGTCACCATGCTTGGCAAGGTTTTCTCACCCTTGACTCTCTGCAGCTTTATCACGTTGAGCCCAGATGAGTATTCATTTTCACGTGTCCAGCATATCATTTACTGTGCAGGTTAGCTCTGAGGACTTGTGCTTTTGTTTTGAATATACACAAACACCATGTTAATTCTACTATTGCTTCTCTACCTGCCAGTCCTATCTTTTTTTTTTTTTAATTTTTTTTATTTCTTTAAATTTTTTTTTGTTTTGTTTTTTTTTTCGAGACAGGGTTTCTCTGTGTAGTTCTGGCTGTCCTGGAACTCACTCTGTAGACCAGGCTGGCCTCGAACTCAGAAATCCGCCTGCCTCTGCCTCCCAAGTGCTGGGATCAAAGGTGTGCACCACCACCGCCCGGCTATTTCTTTAAATTTTAAAATTTTTTTCCTTTATTTTATTTTTGGAAATTGGGAAAACGCCTGACACGCAAAACACTTTTTGTTTTGTTTTTTTTTTTTTTAAAGATAGTGCTTTATGATGTTGCCCAGAAACATCTAGAAATAAGTAGAGGCAATTTGGAGTTTACAACCCATAAAGTAACATGTATAAAGGAATGGGAAAACTGCCCTCATGTAGTATAGATAACTAGGAGTGAGAAACATGTTTCACTACAAGTAAAAATGGCAACAAAACAAAAACCTCAACCCTCTGGGCTTTGAACCTGTCATGCATTTAAAGCATGAGGGCCAGAGAAGTGGCTCAGTGGGTAGGTACTTCTCACACAGCCTTATGACTTGAGCACAACATTGGAACCCACAGAAAGGTGGAAGGAAAGAACAAACCCTGTAATTTGTTCTCTGAGCACCACAGTATGCTGTGGCATATGCATATCCCCTCCACCCCCTACATATCATATATGTGTACTGTAAGTTTTTGAAAATATAAAAACAGCAGCCTTCCAGATGCTGTTCTGGATCTGTCAGTACTGCAGGTACAGCTGCTGGGCTCTGTGACACTGGGGCAAAGAACAACTGTCTATTTCTATACTAAGTTATCAGAAGCCAGTAGACACTAAGAATGGTATATAGCCTGACATTTCATGGGGTTGGGGGTGAAGGGAACAGGCAAGCTGTCACATGTCTTTAATTCCAGCACCAGGGAGGCAGGTGTACCACATCCCACTCAGCCTGGGTTCTAGAACCCTCACTAGGAGCAGGGTAGGAATGAAGATAGACATACAGACTTAGGTATGGGAAAGCTGAGATGAGGCAAGGTTCTGGAATCTCAGCACGCTTATTAGGTACAGCACAGGATGATGGGTTGGCTAGTCTTGGTAGGAGATCTCTGAGGCTATAAACATCCAGGGCAAGCTGCAATTGCTAGTCTTTGGACACACTGGACATTGTTCACACACACTCATACTTGGTCCCTTAAGGAAAGCTTTGGTATTTCTTTGAGCTTCACCCAGGTAAGGCTTTGCTACTTCCACAGGGCTGAGGCCTTGGAGTCCTGTGTCAATAGTACACATTTATTCAGGACTTCTTCCATTCCCTACACACGAAGATCCTAAGGTCAGCCTGGTCTACCATACAGTGATATCCTGTTTCAGAATCAAAAGGGCTTGGGAATGTGGCTTGGTGATTAAGGCACATAAGTAGCTTGACTGAGATTCTGGGGTAATCTATAGTCTGAAAAGAAGGGAGGGTGGTGGAGGAAAGAGGCAGGTGTGACTGATGATATAGCTCTACTGCCCAACTGATCTAAAGGGTGAGTCTAACCAGACTTCATTTCTTAAGAGTCTGCTAGTATAGTTGAGTAACAAAATGTTTGCTGAAGGATACCACAAAGAAATATAAACAAAGGAAATCTCTTAAAGTGACAGTCCCAACTCGTTTCTTCAAAAAAAAAAAAAAAAGGGTGTGTGTGTGTGTGTGTGTGTGTACACAGCACAGGTGCCAAAGGAGAGGGTGTCAGACCCCTTGGTCTTTGAGTCAGAGGTACTTGAAATGCTTGACATGAGTTCTGGGGAGGGAGCCAGGGTCCTCTGCAAGTCTGGTATGTGTCCTGAACTCTGAGCCATCTTTCTAGACCTCTTACTTCTGGTTTTGTTTTTCATTTTTGAGATAGTCTCAGGCCGGGCGGTGGTGGCGCATGCCTTTAATCCCAGCACTTGAGAGGCAGAGGCAGACGGATTTCTGAGTTCAAGGCCAGCCTGGTCTACAGAGTGAGTTCCAGGACAGCCTGGGCTATACAGAGAAATCCTGTCTCGAAAAATCAAAAAAAAAAAAAAAAAAAAAAAAAGAGATAGTCTCACTGTATAGCCCTGGCTATTCAGAGATCTGCCTGTCTTTGCCTCCCAAGTACAGGAATTAAAGGTGTGAGACACTAGGCCTGACTTATTTTTAATTATTTTTGTGTTTGATTCCCCCCCCCTTTCTTTTTGAGACATGATTTCTCTGTGTAGACCAGGCTGGCCTCAACCTAAGAGACCCACCTACCTCTGCCATCTCCCAGTGCTGGGACTAAAGGTATGCATCACCACCAGCTATTTTTTTTCTTCTAATTCTTAAATATCATAGTTATTGCCGGGAGTGGTGGCCAACTAGTCTAGAAAGGGAGTCCCAGGTCAGACAGGGCTGTATCACAGAGAAACCCTGTTTCAAAAAACCAAAACCAAACAAAACAATTATGAGTATTTATTTGTGTGTGAGTGAGAGTGGGTGGGTGGGTGTACCACAGCACAGCATCACATACGTGGAGATCAAAGGACAATTTTCACAATTTGGTTCTTTCTTTCTACTATGTGGGCTCTGGTGATTGTCTTGCTGGCCCACTTTATTTTTTGATATTTACATATTTTTCTTTTTTTTTTGGTTTTTAGAGACAGGGTTTCTCTGTATAGTCCTAGCTGTCCTGGAACTCACTCTGTAGACCAGGCTGGCCTCAAACTCAGAAATCCTCCTGCCTCTGCCTCCCAAGTGCTGGGATTAAAGGCGTATGCCACCACCACCCGGCTCATATTTGTCTATGTATAAATATTTGCCTGACTTTATGTGTTTGTCTACATAGTACTGATGGAGGCAGAATGAGCATTAGATCCCCTGGAACTGGAGCTACAGAGGGTCGTTAGCTTGAATGTAGATGCTAAGAACTGAACCTGGGCTTTCTAGAAGAGCAAGTGCTCTGAGATGCTGAGCCATCTTTCCAGTACCCACTTTCCACTTTGTTGTTGGGACAGTGTCTCTCAGTGTAGCACAGGCTGGCCTCAAACTTGTAGCAAAAGGGGGTTGAACTACTACCACACTCAGAAACTTCATCTGATCCATTTTCTGTAAAAGCCTACATGTTTATTTAACCTGCTGGCCACAGTGAATGTGATGGTTTGTATATGCTGGGGACTGGCATGACTAGAAGGTGTGGCCTTGTTGAAGTAGGTGTGTCACTGTGGGTGTAGGCTCTAAGACCCTCATCCTGGCTGTCTGGGAGTCAGTATTGTCAGCCTTCAGATGAAGATGTAGAACTCTTGGCTTCCCCTGAACCAAGTCTGTCTGGACACTGCCATGCTCCTGCCTTGGTAATGGACTGAACCTCTGAGCCTGTAAGCTAGCCCCAATTAAATGTTGTCCTTATAAGAGTTGCCTTGGTCATGGTGTCTGTTCATAGCAGTAAAACCCTAATTAAGACAGTGAACCATTATAGACTCAGGATATACTTTTTGACCTGTTCCAACACTCTTGTCACTCAGCAGTAAGCAAGCCTTCTCTTGAGTCCTCCTAGCACTTCATACCTTTCTAGCACTTTCTCTTTCCTTTGGCTCCACACTTTGTCAGCTTTTCTACTCGACACTAAGCTTCCTGAGGCCAGGATCATATAGCCTACATACCTGTCTATAAATAGCAGTCTCTCAAAGTACCACCACAAGGATTTGTTTGCATGTTTGAAATGCAGTCTCGAGTAACTCAAACTGGTCTAACTATGTATCTGAGGCTCGCCTTGAACATCTTGTTCTACTTTCCTACGTGTTGGGATTCCAAGTATGTACCAAACATGTGGGGCAGTGCAAGGATTTCTATGTTTTGTTTTCAAGAAGTAATTCTTTGTTTCACTTCAACTCCTAGCCTTCTGTGCAATGTAGAGGGAAAATAACAACTAGTATACTTTCCTTTCTTTTCTTTCTTTCTTTCTTCTTTATTTGAAACAGGATCTATGTAGCTCTGACTGGAACTATTCAGATCAGAGATTGGCATGCTTCTGGCTCCAGAGTGCTGAGATTAAAAGCATGCACTACCATATCTTTCTTGCTATGCAATCCAGGTTGGCTTCTAACTCCCAGTTGTCTTGCCTCAGTTTCCAGAATAGCTGAAGTCACTGGTGCTGTGGCACCCAGCTAGCAGCACATTTAAAACACTACACAAAAAACAGTATAGGAAAACAGGCAGGAGATATGGCTCGGCTCAGTGGTTATGAACACTTGCTTGATTAGTAGGTGGTTTTTTGTTTTTTTCTGATTTGACAGAAACTAGAGTCAGAGTCATTTGGGTAGAGACCACAACTGAGAAACAAGAAACTGCCCCCACAAAACTGGCTTGTGGGCATTTTCTTTAATGATTGATGTAGGCAGTGTGGAGGTTTTGGGAGACTGCCTCCCCTGGGGAGATAGGAAATTCTGGGTTGTGTATCAGCCTGCACAAAGCCATGAGAAGTAAGTCAGTAAGCAATGGTTCCTCCATGTTTTTTTGCTTAAATTCCTGATCTGACATCACTCAGTGGCAGATTGTCACCTATAAAGCGAAGTAAGCCGTGCGGTGGTGGCGCAGGCCTTTAATCCCAGCACTTGGGAGGCAGAGGCAGGCGGATTTCTGAGTTCGAGGCCAGCCTGATCTACAGAGTGAGTTCCAGGACAGCCAGGGCTATACAGAGAAACCCTGTCTCGAAAAACCAAAAAAAAAAAAAAAAGAAAGAAAGAAAGAAAGAAAGAAAGAAAGAAAGAAAGAAAGAAAGAAAACCTACAACAGCCTGTAACTTCAGTTTCTACGGATCTGATGCCATGTCACCTGGCATACCCATACGTATACACATAATATTTTCTTTGTCAGCTTGAAATTACAAGCTATTGTATTAGTTCTCCAAATATCTGAAAGGGCACCTCCTCAAAGATTGTCTTTGCAGCTGTGAAACTACTGACCAACGCCACTGAGTTTCCTCTACCAAAGGCGGATTTCACTGAACCCATGCTTCATTCTGCTCAGAGCATAAATAGGGAAACCCCCTTTCCTCGCTCCTGAGAGGTGAAGTGGCCTAGGCTCGCAGTTGTCCCTCACCACACACCCCCTAAGCTAAGCAGCAAGCGCTACCCTGTCCTTTGCCTGGTTTTTATCTCTGTGAGGCAAAATGGCTCACCTCCCTAAAAGTGCAGAAGACCAAGGGGAGACGCAGAAGAGAAAAGGCGTAACACAGAGCTGCGGCTGGGGATGGCAAGACGAACCAGAGACAGCCATCCGTCCCCAGCTCCCGCCGGCTCCCACGGCACAGGCCACGCGCGTCCCCGGCCGCTCCGCCGGAAGTCCCGCCTGCGTCTGGGGCTACAACCGCGCGCCCTCCGGCCAGTGCCCGGGTACAGCTCAGACTGACCGTCTCGCGCTTGTGAGCTCAGGAACACTAGGGACAACCAAGGCAGCTGACCGCCTCGCGAGCCCCTAAGAAGCGGCATCCCGCACAGGTGTCCAAGCGAAAGTCGCCCGCCGAATAGCGCCGGGGCTGCAGGTGGGACTTCCGCCTCGGGACCCGGAAGGGACCGCGCCGTCGCTGGTGGGAGTTGTAGTCCGGCCATAGTTGGGGGGGCCCGCGGCTCATGCGCCGTGCACCGAGGCTTGTTTCACATCTGTAACAACAGGTGAATTGGGCTTTTTATTCTACCCTTTCGCGCCCCTTGAAGCAGCCTGCCACGGGTCGGGGGTGGTCGGCGCGAGGAGGGGTCCCGAGTCCGGCCGGCGGCCTGGCGGAGAGTGGGAAGGAGGAGCTGGCAAGCCTGAGGAGCAGGCCGGGCATCCTAGGCCTGCCCGAGAAGCCGGCCGGGGCGAGCCGTGGGCAGCCAGGCC